AAACCTGCTTAATTAGAATGCGTACAGAATTTAGTAGCCTGTAGGAGACGACAAAAATTTTCGCAGATTATCATCACTCTTTCGTTAAACCACCTGGAAAATTTAACCAAGTGATAATATCACTACGAAACTAACCATATAGGTATTGAATATAACTAGTGCCAACCTAGTGATATGGTAAAGACAATAAAGAAATATTCTCCATATGCCCAGTGATAATAATCTAGTGGTTTTACTTGGAGAGCTCAATGAGTAGACTTAATGGTAGTTTGGATAAAAAAATCAGCCTCATCTGCAAAAGTGATGTCCACTTTTCTATCTAAGCCACTTACATCTGAACCCTGCGCAACCCTCATTACACTCGCAGAAGTTTTATTGAGTTACTTCCTAACTATGCCACTACGTTCAAAAAACCTGCTGCTTTGAGGATTGTTTGAAGGTGTAATCGTTTGAATGAGGTCGATCAAAAAAATTGGGTAAACGAATGCTCCGCCTTTCGAATGTTGAGGCGAGAAAGCTACAGTAAACCTACTACGATTTATCTGCATTTGCTGCGCTTGACCTGAACCTCTATTACACTTGGTCCTAGGAAGAATTCCTAATTTATGGCAGACAGTGATTTTAGTGATGTGAAACGGAACTGTTCAAAGAGGATTGCTGGCGGCCGTGTTAGAGTATACTACAGCAGGATTTTTCTGAAACTTTTTGAAAAGAATCCGTTGAGAACGTTTATTATAGCTCTACTCCCATTTTCAATGATTGTTCAGAACTCAGCATCATCCCTTAGGCATTATATATTAACTGCTTTTTATTTATCGGCCGAACAAAACTGCTGAACGTCTTTATGTGATTGTCGAAGTAAAAGGAACGTCAAAGGGGATAAGATTCCTGTGTGAGTTGTACGCTTTAACAATTTAAGCCTGATGACTGTTGTCTCCACCAGTTGTTGCAGTCACACCGATGCGAACAAGTTGACGAAGCTCAAAGAAGGCGAAGATGGAGCTATTGAAGAATGGAAGGAATAACGTGTCAAGAGTTTTACCGCCAACCACAACGGCACAAAGTACGCAAGAATGCTACAACGACCATGCCTTCATGATTTTCATGTATACGGTAGGATTTACCATTCATTTTATTCTATAATTAGCGCGCATCAGAAGTTATCATAGAATTTTGCAAAAGGTAAGGAACGATGTTTGATTTTATCTCAGTTGATTTGTTCAAAAGCAAGTACGTCGATATAACAAATACTAAAATTTGATAGTTTTGCAACTTCCTTTGTGAAATAGTTTGAAAACCTTTAAAGTAATAATAGCTCCTTTGTGAAAGCTATCAGTTCAAAGTTATGTATAATTCAAAGTATCATTGCGCCCTAATAATATTCTCTCACATCATTGGTTTTTCCTCCTTGTTTGAACGCATCTTTACAAGGCTCTTTAGAACATTCACGACAACGTGAGTGTGGGCATGAATGCAGCCTGTACAGCGTATCCACGCTTCATAGTTGAAATTTTTAAAGGATTACAACTCTAGGCTTGATCCCAGCTGTT